AAGAACACTGCTGGAGGAATATCAGTACCAAATTTCAAACTCTACTATAAAGCCATAGTAATCAAAACAGCTTGGTATTGGCATAAGAACAGACCTCAGGACCAATGGAATAGAATTGAAAACCCAGAAATGAACCTACAGACCTATAGCCATCTAATCTTCGATAAGGGAGCTAAAACAATAGAATGGAAGACAGACAGCCTCTTCAGTAAATGGTGCTGGCAAAACTGGTTAACTACATGTAGAAAACTAAAGCTAGATCCTTATATATCACCCTGCACCAGAATCAACTCCAAATGGATCAAAGACCTTGAACTCAAAGCAGACACTCTGAAAACATTACAGGATGGAATAGGAGAAACCCTGGGTCTCCTCGGCTCAGGCCGAAATTTTCTGAATAGAGACCCGGAAACACAACAAATCAAAGACAATGGGACAAATGGGATTGTATAAGGTTGCAGAGCTTCTGCAGGGCAAATGACATAGCTAGCAAGATCAATAGAAAGCCCACGGATTGGGAGAAGATCTTTACTAGCCATACAACGGACAAGGTCTCATATCTAAAATATACTTGGAACTCAAAAAATTAAACCACCCAACAACAAATCCTCAAAGAAACAACTGCCCAATAAGTAAGTGGGCAAAAGACCTAAAGAGAAGCTTCTCTGAAGAAGAAAGAAGGATGGCCAATAGACACATGAAGAAATGTTCAACATCCCTAGCCATAAAAGAAATGCAAATCAAAACAACATTGAGATATCACCTCACTCCAGTTAGAACAGCAAAAATCAAGAACTCTAACAACAACAGATGCTGGAGGGGATGTGGACAGAAAGGAACCTTACTTCATTGTTGGTGGGAATGTAAACTTGTTCAACCACTTTGGAAAGCAGTATGGAGGTTCCTCAAAAGACTCAATATAGAGCTCCCCAATGACCCAGCAATCCCACTTTTGGGCATTTACCCAAATGGCCACAAACAAGGCCACACTAAAGCTACCAGCACAACTATGTTTATTGCAGCATTATTTACCATAGCTAAGAGATGGAACCAACCCAGATGCCCCTCAGTAGATGAATGGATCAAGAAGATGTGGTATATATACACAATGGAATTCTATGCCTCCATCAGAAAGAATGACATTGCCCCATTTGTTAGGAAATGGAAAGGCTTGGAAAAAATTATATTAAGTGAAGTAAGCCAGGCCCAAAGAAACATAGGTCCCATGGTTTCCCTTATTTGCAATATCTAGTATAGGTATGAGTCAAGCGGAAAAAGTCAGAGAATGTGATGTTAGGAAAACGAACCCTCAAATATGTATTTTAATGTTTTTGTTTCTTTCATGCATGTGTTTCTAACGCATTTATAATATTATTTCTTTGTTGCTTTGTATGTCCCTCCCCCACAGTGTAACCCCCGCTTTCACTATATTTGATATCAGTATAACATGTGGAGGAGACGGGGACAAACAAGTCTTTTAAGGATTCAGGTGGACCTGTTGCAACAATGAGAAGTACAAAATGTCATGTCAAAACCAGCTTTACAATGTCGTTGCGGGGGGGGGGAGGGGGGGTATGATTGGGTGGGGGGGAGGGGGGAGGCTGGGAAGGGAGGTGAAGGGTAAACAAAGGAGGAGGCTGCAATGCTTGGTAAGAAATGTATGCATTTTCCTGCCCATGTAATTGTAACCCCTCTGTACAGTATGTTCTCAATTAAAATAAAATAAAATTAAAAAAAAAAAAAAAAAGAAACCCTGTCCTTAAAATAGATATATATGATATAAGGGCTCAGGATATATATGATATATATATATATATATCATATATATATCATATATGTCATATATGATATATATATGATATATATATCATATAAGGGACAGGAGTGACAGTTCAGTTGGTAGATCATGTGCATCTTAGCATGCAGGAGGACCTGGGTTCAATCATCAACCCTAATAATTAAGACTGGTGAGACTGCTATTTCTCTAGATGCTACTGAATACATGCAGGCAAACATCTCAGACGAAAAGAGCATTGGGTGTGTGCATGGGAGCACTAACAGCTGGTTTGCAGCCATCCTGAATGGGGGGAATAAGAAACCTTGGCTATTCCAAAGTTTTCCAATCTTCATGTTTAGAGGGTCTCCAGGTTTCTATGCCTCGTGTCACCAAACTAACTACAGAAGCAGATGCTTCAAGCAGTTTTACTGACAGCCAACTATGGGGTTTAATCACTATCAAGTCATAAACAAAGTCTTTTATGACACTCAAATACTCTGTTGTGTGAACTTTGGACCATTTGATTTTGATTTGTTTGGTTCACTGAGACATCTGTCAAGGACTATACCTTTTTTTCTCTTCATCACGTCCTGATAGTCATCATAATCGTATCCCTGATGTGTTGTATTCCTTCCAAGAATTTTAAAAATGGGTCCAGGTTTGGTGGTACATGCCTGTAATCCCAGCATTCAGGAGGCTGAGGTAGGAAGATCACAATTTCAAGGACAGCTTGGTCTACATAGTGATTTTAAGGCATTCTGGACTGCATAGCAAGATCCTATCTCAAAAGAATGCTCATAAATGTTTCTGTGGAGCCATCCTTTGTACTTGAAAACATCAAAAATCATCTAGCTTATTTGTCATTGTACATCATAGTACCATATTGAGAGCAAATCATTTAACTATTGTGGTGATATACAATGTAAAAGTATTCAGCATTTCAATCAACCTCAAAATTTGTGGTTGGGCATTAATAAATTAAGTTAGACCTAAAGAGCCAGGCATTGGTGGTTCATGACTATAAGCTTAGCTATTCAGGAGGCTGAGATCTGAAGATCAAAGTTTGAATCCATCATGGGCAGGAAGGTAATCTCCAATTGTCCACCAGAAGGGGAGATTTGGCTCAAGTAGTAGAGCCATCATTGAATGAAAAAGCTAATGGACAGCACCCAGGCCTTGAGCTCAAGCCCCAGTACTGGCACAGAAGAAAGAAAAAGAAGGGGGAAAGAATGAAAGAAAGAGAGAGAAAGAAAGAAGGAAAGAAAGAAAGAAAGGAAGGAAGGAAGGAAGAGAAAGAAGGAAGGAAGAAAAGAAAGAAAGATAAAGAGAAAAAGAAAGGAAGAGGAAGAAGAAAAGAAAGGTAGGAAGGAAGGAGGGAGGGAGGCAAAGAAAAAGAGAGAAAAACGGGTCTAAATCTGCCTCTGTGTGTAAGGAACTGTACTCTGTCTTCATATGTGAACAAAATCTAACCTGACAGACTTTATTCTTTGAACAAGACCACGGCTACCCAGAGTGTACAAAGATGGCAAATCTGCTGCAACCTGGAGGTAGTTCTGTGTCACTTTCTCATCCTGTCCATAGACTTGCACTATTTAGGCACTGCTCCCATTCCTGAATCAGTTCTTCCTGCAAAGAAATGGCTAAAAATGACTTGTTCAACCTTTTTTTTCTAGTAAGTGTTAACAGTATGTACTAGATAGCTTACAAAGGAAATTTCTTGGACCCTTTAAGATTAATAAGAAAAAAAAAAGGTTTCCAATTCATCTGTATTTCGAGGGTAACTGGTTCTAATTGCACTGCTGCTCCAAAGACACGGTGTGCCGGGCCCAAGCAGGAGCAGGGTAGGGCTAAGGACCAGAGTGGACACACAGGTGCACATCAAGCACCTAGTATATGTCTTCAAAGGGCTTCTGAGAGCCAGCACACAGTGAGTGATGGTTCACCAGGTACTGCAGAGACTTCCTTCCTTCCTTCCTTTATTTCTTGTTCTTTCTTTCCTTCCTTACTTCCTTCCTACCTTCCTTCCTGCCTGCCTTCCTTCCTGCCTTCCTTCCTTCCATATCTTTCTTTCTTTCTTTCTTTCTTCTTTCCTTCTTTCTTTTGTTTTTTCATCCAACAAGAAGCCATAACTTTATTGATAATAGAAACAGGACAGATTTCAAACCAAGCTGCAGGTACCCTCTTGAAACACAGACACACAGAAAAAGGGTCCTTGTTTTCCCATGGTTACATTGTTAATTCCATTATAACATTTACAATGCCATTACTATTATTCTTCAGGGCTTGGACTGCCTTTGCTCTTGACACATTTCCTTTGTGACATGGCCAGTCCTTAACTTCCACACCTGTTCATCAACCTCTTCCTCTTCACCCTCCTCATGTACTGTGTTTTCTTGAATGTTTGAGACAGCTTCACCCTTCTCATCTTCTTAACTATCAAATAATTCTAAGAAAGGGCTCTGCTTCGGAGTCTCTGAGATAGATTCTCAATGGTCAGAAATGATTCTACTCCAGAGGACTCACCTTTCTATCGCCTCGGGATTATGATTATCAAATGATAAGGAGAGATTGTCACAAATCTTGAGAGGAGGGTAGCCTAGGGATTGGTAAAAGTTAGCCTTGCACTTTGGCTCCAAGAAAAGCATCTAAGAATCAGAAAAGTTAATTTAAACATGATTGTGACATATTAAGTCAAGATCACGGGGGGGAAAGGGCAAAAAAAAAAAAAAAAAGAACATGTTGTAGTGGGTTCGGCAAGAAATGCTCCTGGCTGTACCATTTACCCAGCCGTGTTACCCACAAGCCCTATTTTCTCTCGATTTTCTCCCTATCGTCAGCTAAGTGCTTGGCTGACTTTGGTCAGGCCAGCAGAAAGAGGAAATCCCAGAAAAACTGGTTTTCCGTGCGATCATTTTGGATGAGGAGAGCAGTAGCTAACAACACCCCAAACTCTATGTGTCTTCCCGGGGTACCCAGAGGACAGACGTTCAAAGGCCTGCTGCCGCTGGGAAACCTTAGGAAAAATCCACTTCACCCCTGATAGTGCATAATTCTAGATCGGAATCCGCCTCCGTGGGCACGAGGAAGCGGAAGCCCAGGCAGAGGATCAGAAGCCCCCCAGACCCACGGCGCGCAGGGGGAGGGAGACCGGGCGGGAAGAGCGAGCGCCCCGCGCCCCGGCCCTGCGGGAACCCAGCCTGGGGGGCGCAGCCCCGGCTCTCACCAGCCCCAAGAAGGCCAGACACAGGATCAGCGTGGTGAACCGGCGCCGCGGGCTCCGGGCCACCGCCGCGGGCTTATTCTTCGCAGGCACCCGGGTCTGGAGGAGCCGCTGCCGGGCAGCAGGGGGTCCGGCCCCGGCCCTGACCCCGGCCTCCGCCCCGCGCCACGCCACGTCCAGCTCCAGCTCGGCGGCTGCGGAGAACGCTCTCGCTCCTCCCAGCTGCCACTCTGCGGCCGCGACCTCTGCCCCTCCGGTTCCAGAAGCACCACTAGGTGCAACCTCTCCCCAGGACTGGAGAGGTTGGCCTTTGGAACGTGCGGGTGTTGCAAGCTGCAGACACACCCGCGGCATCTTGCACAACTCCTGTGCAAGTCACGTGGCCGAAAAGGTTCCGTTCCCCAACCCAGGACCGAGTCGGCCACGGGTTGCCTGGGAGACGGAGAGTCGCTTCCCGCTGCAGCATCTCTTCTGACCGAGCCCGTGGAGACCCGCAGACGGGCGCCTCCTCGTGGTGGTTTCTGTAATTGCAGTCTCGGAACAGCTGCATCCTCTGAGCTGACACCCTCTACCCCATGGTTCTGGAGTCTCTAGGCCCACCACAAGAGGACCCCGCCAGAGCTCCGCCTGCGCCTCTCAGCGTCACCAGAGGCCTCCTGGGGCCATCTCCCTCTGCGGACTCTCCACCGTGCTGGGGTGGACCAAGGGTCTCTGCATGCAGCCCATGCTCACCGCAGCCAATTCCAAGATTTGACAGGCAGCACAGAAACAGCTGGGGCCAGGTCGCAAGCAGGAGTTAGTGTGCATTTGTGGAGTAGTTCAGCGTTTCCTCCTCTCCCTGTGGCTGAGATGGACACGAGTAAAATTCCATATAAAATGGAGCACATTCTGCTCACCCCTTCCCCCCCCTCCCCCCCGCAAAAGTTCTTTTACGCCTCTGAAACAGCATGCCCAGTACTTGGAACAAGTAAAGGACCACTTGATTTTCTAGATTTAGCCCTCAGAATGAAGCGCTCCTTGCAGGTGGCTGTCTTAAAAGAAGAGGTGAATGCTGTTTGCCAAAATGGACAGCAGTGCAGAAATGAACGCCGTGGGAGAAGACAAGATGAAATAGTTTGGGAAAGAGCAGAGCTGTGTTATGTGCCAGTGGCCACTTCCAACCTCATCTTGACTAGTCAACAGGTTCAGCATTGTGAATTCAGCCACTGAAGCCATTGAAGTTGACGACACGACTGTTGAACTGTTGAACATGAAATTTCATTAAGGCAACAGATAATGTACTTACTAACAGTCCTGGAAGTGGAAAGCAAAGCATGGTAAAGTGATGATTATTTAATTGCACAGTGCTTTTGCTATTCATTGCAGGCTCTTGGTTCCCTGCCTGAGGTAACCTAGATGTCAAAAACTAATATCCCAATACCTGGAAACATACAGCTCTTATAAGCAAACAAAGAAAAAAAAGAGGCCATCAGGAAGAAATTTAAACTGAAAAATGCAAAATAAGGTCTTGGCAGGCTTCCTGGCCCCCTAAGGAGTGGAAGGTCTTATTCTTGTACAACTTTCCACAGTCCCTGCCTTTGTTTCTCTCACATCTGGGGTTTCTTGATCTGCCGGTCTTTATACACTCTGCATGTATTTGTTGAACTTGTGTACTATCTCCATTAGTCATCACAACAACACTCAGATTCTACCTTAGCCTCATCTGGAAATAAAGAATGAGATTAAGGAATATCCCTACATACCTCACTTGCCTAAGGTCAGTCGGGAAACTTCTGGCCATGCACAGTGGCCACAAATACAACATAAAGCAGATTGCCTCTACAAACGTTGCTTTTCTGAGAGAGTTAAAAGAAACACTTCCTTAGCTAGGCATCTAGTGCTCAGATCGGGGGTCCCCAAAGACCACCAAGGAGCCAATTCCAATGTAAGCACACGAGAGTCGTTTATTGCAAGCTCTAGTTTGGACTTAAAACGGTCACCGACACAGCAGGTCAGAGTTGAGAGCCCCCACCCTTCATCTAGCAGGGTTTTTATAGGGTTTTTAGGGATTTCTATGCATCATTGCAACACTTAACAAATCATATCACACCGCGGGAAAATCATAAAATAATTCTAAAAGATGATTAGCATAACCAGTGGCGAGAACCAACTAGGTACTCAGGATTGGCTGGTTCAGGGGTTTGATGCTCTTCGAAATGATTGGCTAAAGCAGATGGTCTGAGCCATGACAGAGTGGTTTTTAACTTGCAGGAATATCTGGAACTTTGGGCTTTTCCTGTTATCTGCTGATTAGTTGTAGTTAGTGGAATTTCCTGTAAAGGGGTTGTTCCTGGAATTTGGGCATCAAGGGGATCAAAAGGAGTTGCTGACACATTGCCTGGACAAAATGGAATCCAAACCTAAAATTGCTATATTTTGTTAAGGGTTCACAGCTAGCTAATCATAGCTACTTAGGAGGCTGAGATCCGAAAACTGAGGATCACAATTCAAAGACATGGGGAGGGGGGGGGCAGGAAAGTTCATTAAACTTTTTTACCACCAAAAATCCAATGGTGGAGTTGTGGCTTAAGTGGTAGAACACTAGCCCTAAATCCAAAAGCTCAGAAAAAAAATGCCCAGGCCCTGAGTTTAAGCCCCAGGATTGGCACAAAAATAAGACCTTCTTATCATGCCTGCTTAGGTAAACTGGGCCCTTCTGACTGACTATTGTACTCTGATTGGTTTTTGCCAGCAGACTTTAAAACCACGAGGTGAGAGATCCTGTCTGATTTACTACACCACACAGTTTAGCCCAAGTACAGTGTCTGACACTAGGAAGTCACTGAAAGTATTGATATATAAATGACTACACATTTTACAGTGTCTGACACTAAGAAGTCACTAAAAGTATTGATATATAAATGACTACACATTTTATAGGATTAAAAATATCCATGTGACCTGGCCAGATAGGTCAGGACAGTTCTGTTGACTGATTGGGGTTGAAGCTGACCAGTGGACCAATGGTGAGGGAAGGGTTGAATCACCCACCATGGTCAAAAAGGCACTTTATTTGGTGACTGGCAGCAAAGAAGTGAAATATGGGCTTTGGAGTTGTACAAATCTAAATCTAAAGCATAGCTCTATTTCTATGAGCTATAGACCTTTTTGTCTTTTTTTTTTTTTTGAGACAGAGTGTCACTATATAACCCAGTCTGGGCTCTGACTTAAGAGTACTGGATTACCTGTGCACTACTCCTCTGCCTCCTATTGGATATATGGCTTTAAGAAGAAAAGCACTGAAGCCTAGGTCTTCCTTTATGAAAACAGGACTTAATGTCACCTGCCTTGTTGGTGCTTGACAGTACAAGGAGATGATGGGAGGCACTGGGTAGTATTGTAAGCTTGTGAACAATTGGTTCCTAATGAAGGCCAGGGCACAGGAAAATCCTTTACCTCATGGCAGCTAAGAAACAAGGAGAGGGGCCTGAAGGGGCTAGAGCCAAGACATAGCTTCCTAGGGCATGCCTCTAGGGCCCCAACTTCCCCAGGGTGGCATAAACTATCAAGGGACTAACCATGGTTTAAATCAGAGTCCCGGGGTTCTGATTGCTTCCCAAAGCATGTCAACTGCAACCCAGATCCCAACATATGAGCTTTGGCAGGGGGTGGAGGATTTCACATTCAAACTATAACAATAGGCCAAATGTGATTGAAGGGCATCATAAAGATGACATCTTAGAAATTACACATGAATGAAAGCTTAGATTTTTAAGGGAAAATGTGTTCTATTTTATCTGTTGATACCAATCATCTGTGTTCAAAGATAAACCTGAAGTTAAGATAGAACTGAAAAAAGTAGACTCAGAAAAAGTTGTGATGGATATTGGTAGAGCTTGCAAAGTATATAAAAGATGTAGTTTATGAACAGTTTGTGTGATGTGATTAAGTTGACTATGTTTGTGTGTGTGTGTGTGTGTGTGTGTGTGTGTGTGTGTGCCAGTGCTGGCACTTGAACTCGGGGTCTGGGCATCTTTTGCTCAAGGCTAGCACTCTACCATTTGAGCCAGCAGAGTCCTACTTCTGGCTTAAAAAAAATTAGTTCATAAGATTTTCATGGACTTTCCTAGCTGGGCTGGCTTCAAACCACAATCTTCAGATGTTAGCCTCCTGAGTAGCTAAGATTATAGGTATAAGCCACTGGCGGCTGGCTAGGTTATCTGTATTTAAAAGGTTACCATAAGGTTTTTCTAAGGGCAGGATTTAATGCACTCATGTAAAATTAGTACCTAATTCTCTATAATAAAAGACTAACTTAAAAATCTTATTCTTATTATTCCTAAAATAATATTCTAGCAACACTTTGAATCACTGGCTTAAAGGGAAAAAATGATCAAGATAATGCCTTGTGTTCTAGTGATCTTGTCAAGCATTTTACAACTATGGAAATTGAGTCCTAACTGAGCCAAAGTTTGTTTGAGTGTCTGTTTCTTTAACCATCTTGCATGACCTCCACACCCACCCCTTCTAGGATGTAATTCTTAAATAACTCCTTACCAACTAGTATTCTTCGGATTGAAATGGTTTGGGGTGCCTTTTACAGACTATCTGTGGGTCCCTAATTGTAACAAGTAGAACCTGTGCTGCTGCCACAATGCTGTCAGTCTAATTATTGTCCTAAACTACTGCATAAAGTAGAAATAATAGTCTGTGCTGTCAATCGCTAAACTGTTCCAAAAGTTGAACCAACTATTCTTAGTCTTTTATCATGGAAGTTTCTTTCTCAGGAACAGGGCAGGTAGGCATAGAAAGGATGGCTCTTACATTACTTATTTGTCAAAGAATTAGCTTTGAAACATAATAGACTCCAGGGAATCTTTCCCTAAGAACCACTTCTAAACTTGTTTTGGTCAGTCAAGCATTTAAGCAGGGGCATGGGTGTTATTGGCTACTTTTAGCCCCATTTACAGTGACAAACAGGAGCAGCAAAGACGAAGGTTTTTGTTGTTGGTTTTTTTTTTTAATTTACTGCTTGACTAGAAAAAGGAACATATATAAACTTTCAGTAAAAAAAAAAAAAAAGTAGCATTAACACTGGTACAGAGA